AACTGGTCGAACACACATCCCACACAAGACACCTAATAGACTGGTCTAATACCAGTAAGCTGAAAAGTAGGAAATCTATAGAAACAAGTGAAACAGCCAACATCATGAATAGTAGGAACGAGTGTATAAAGTTAAACAGAAACTACATGGGATGGATGGGATTATAGAGAAAGAAAGGGAACAAGAAATACCGCCAAACAAGCGGGGACTTAATTAGCCTCAAATCTAGTTATCACTCTCAAGCCCCGTATGTCTCATGAGCATTCAATGCAAACAGCACAGGTGCAATTGAATGCAATCATGTGTGGCAACATTGCAAAAGCAAGCAAAAAGGATAATTGAAGATACAGCTGTTCGGTCACAAGTGCATTGATTTCACGCTTCAATTGCAGCGTGTCAACCGCAGCCACTTGACTTTTAACAGATGTAGGAAAAGCCAAATCATGAAATGGCTCAATAAGTGGAACGAGCCAAACTATAAAAGGTATGCAGGATTGCAGGTGGCCACCTTTCTCGTCTTTGTACTTGGTGAATTATCGAAAAGCACGGAGTCCCGCTTTGACGATGTCCATCACATGAAGGACGAAAGTTCAGCAAGGATTCATCGAAGTCGCAGGGCAGGGCGCCGAGGACCTATTTGCAGAAAGATAGAATCACAGCTCCAAGGCAATTTTCCTACGGCTTCTGGTGAGGTAAACTTAAGAATCCCTTCAAGCTAACTCCAAAAATGAATTTATTAAGGGATTTTTTAAAAACCAGTTTTTCCACATATAAGACATATCTTCACCTGTAGCAGAGTAAATAACACTCTAAAACACAGCATTTCGACAAAATATTACAGAAATTTATTTTATTTCATATTTGCTATCTTATTTCATTTTGTTTACCTTGATTGATTAGATGAAAAAAACATATGAAGTCAGCCCGACACTATAGGCTTAGAGATAGATTTACTGTCACTTTAAGGAAGCTGTAATAAGTATTTTTAAGAAAATTCGAAATGTATGGTCTGAAAGCAGCAATATGAATATTTTATAAACCTTAATCACCTCAGATGAAAGTGGAAATTGTATCTAGTGATAAAAGTTTAGAACTAAACATTTTTAAATAAAGCAAAATCTGGATTCTCGAGTTTAGGACACTAATAAAATAGACCCAATCTTGCCTAGTGTCGATCACATTTACAAAAAGATAGATTGAAAAAATTAAACTGTGCTAATGTGCAATAGTAATATAAGAACCAGATATATATTGCAATTTTATTATTATTAGAATACGAAAATAGATGGCATGCACAAATGAAGGAAAATGCAGGATAAAAAAAAGAACTGGCACCGATGCGCATAAACATAAGCAAGTCAAAACAAGAATTGTAAAAAATAATTTAGATGTGCAAGTGATGAAAACTAGGCAAGACAAATAGTAGAGGGATCACCTGCATTTCTGCCTCTTGTTGAGTGGAAATTCTATAGCCTGGTAGCGTCATCCACCAGGCGCCCTCGTCAACCTGGCACCATGGCGACAGCATAGCATTTTGATCAATCATTCCCGCGCCAATGAGAGGCGAAAAGAGAGTATCGTGCAGCGAGTTGAGGCTCGTAAGACTTGCAGTGTGTATACTACGCATCGGTCGAGCAGACGAGTTGGTAACAAAGGCTGGACAGGCAAGGCGCCCGGGAAGCGGAGATGGAGTGGCATCAGAGGGTCCAGATGCGCAGCTTACTAGAGTCTCATAAGGGTCTCGTGACATTAACTCGTTATTCGTCAAGCTGTAATAGAATGAACTGGGAAATTACATAATATAGACTAACCAGAAGTTTAAATACTTAGCTTATTGCCTCTTTGAAAGGAAGGCGTGGAGAAACTCCCAAGGAATGATAAGTTGTAAAATTCAAAAGTTAACTTGAAAATATAGCTTGGAGGAATTTTCTTGACATTTATATCAGATCGGAAAACAATATGGAGTTATCAGGATTGCTATATCATTTTATTTATTTTGTTAGGGTTGTGGTGAGTATGCTTATTAAAAACACAGCAATTATGAATAGAATCTTGTAGTTAAACAGGAAAATGCAATCCTAGAGCATCTAATCGCTAAGACAGAATCATTATAGGTCGAAAGTATATATAAATCTATATATTCATCAAAGAAAATAGTCTGACAGAGAAAGTTAAACTAAGCTACAAGAAATTAAATGAGAATCGAAAGTATGAAGAACTAGATTGTGGGTCCTTTCGTATAGTCGCAGTCTCTTTCGTTGTATAGAAGTTGTTTGACCTTGTTTTCTCAACTTGGTCATATTGGTATGAAGACCCAGAGGAACGCACCTAGTCCAGAGTGCATACTATGCGCGATAATGGGACTGTGGACGTGGTACATACCTTGACGTTTCGCCGGCATCGTCAGAGCCTTGCCAATATTAGCATCACACTACAACTCGTGAAAGAGAAAATTGAAGCCGATCATTTGACCAATGGCTGTTAAACAATTGTGATATCTCTGGGCCATTCACCAATCCTATATCCTCGTATCACCTATAGACTATCAAAATTTCGTATGTAAATGTGTCATGATGTGGCCTTTTTAGGTGACCTCACCCTCTCACGCTGCAATCCTATTCCCATAGGTCTTATCAGTCTCCTTCTTGCTCAGTAGGACCCACCTCTTACCTTCCTGATTCAGGTATTTCACCCGACCCTCGTGACCCTAGCTGCACTTCTCGAAATGTTATTTCCCACATTGCCTCAAGCCTTTGGTGGCGCGCGAACTTCCGGTTAGCTGAGTAGGCCTCAAAAAATCAGGATTCTCAAGCCGGTTGGGAGAGTAACTCGAGGCTAAAGATCCCAAGTAATTCTCATGGTCAAGCCTTTGCTTGATGGAAGTGGAGGAGGAAGAACGATTATCATTTCTGGATATTGAAGTCATACGCCCAAGCTGGACACTCGTGAGGAGACTGTACAGAATGAATTTATATGCGAAAAGAAGCCTTAATTTTTAGTCTCATGATAAATACAGACTGAAGATTGAAATACTGAGAAGTTTGATCATCAGAAGGTTAAAACTAAGAGACATTGAGTTTTGGGAAGAGGGGTTGGACAAACTGACACGGATTTGTCTTAGTAACGGGTACCCTAGAGAATTAATAAAAAAATGTAGGGGTTATAAAGTTCAGATTTTAACTCGTGTTTTATGAAAATAATATCAGGAATCAGGATGATCAAAAGTACCGTATTTCCCCATGTATAAGCCATCCTTTTTTTCCAAAATTTCCAAGCCCAAAAAGTAAGGGGGTGGCATATATAAAGCAGGTACACGTTTTATGCGTGAAAAATGCATAAAATAATAAAGTAGGAATCAACTGGTTTTTCAGCTCCGTCGAGCTCTCTTTTGTTTTTGTGCGACTTGCAAGCATTGTACACAGTAATCGGTTAGTGTTATTTTGAAACTCCAAAATGGCTGAACAAATGAAGAGACACGCCTACACTAGAAGCTTTAAGTTAA